CCCGTCCCCCAGTCCTACACTCGCGCTCACCCCTCGCTGGGAGCCCCCGCTACAGTTGTCACAGCGGCCCTCTAGGTACACATAGGAGCTACGGCTCACTGCGTACACGGCCTGCGCCTTGCAGGACACACACTCCAAGGACACAAGGGGCACCCGACCCCTACGGATCAACACCTGGAGACAAGAAAAGAAGCCACGACCTGAGCCAGGGCCTCCACTCCTGGGGCCCACACCCTGAGTCTGCACAGGGCAGTCAGCCCCAGCCAGGCTCCCCAGGGGAGCTGGGCCTCTGGCCTCTACCCTGATGCTGTTCCCCTGGCTGGGAAGGCTCCTCTCTGGGCCCTGCCAGCACCCAGTTAACCCGGAGTCCAACTTCCCAAGGCTCCGTGGGCTCAGCCCTCCTCAAGTACATTCGTTCAGTTTTTGATGTCTCCCAGTCTGGAGGATGGTGGTGGACACCCAAGAGGGCAGAGTCCACCTCGTGCTTATTTTCCATAGCACCCAAAGCCCAGCTTGGGCCTAGCACACACGAAGCACTCAGGTACTCACCTGTGAACAGAATGGATGGACGGACGGACGTACCCGTGGAGGAGAAACAGAACGAACGCACGTGTGGGGTGATGGCGGCCGTGCTCACTACACAGCCCCATCTGAGGTCGGTCCCACCTCAGCCAATCCAGGCTGGACCCCGCTCCGAGCTCCCCTGTCCCCACACAGCCCGTCCCAGGCACCAGCAGCACCTCGCGCACCTGCCGCCATCGGCAGGCCGCTGGCACCTCGGTCCTGACCTGCCTGGAGGGTGCAGGGGGCAGCAATGTTGAGCACGTGTCCACCCAGGGCTGAGAACAGGCTCTTCCTGTTCAAAAATGAGGACACCCATGCTCTGGGAAGGGGGCCGGTTTCCTCACTGCCTTTGGTGCTGCTGGAACCCCTTACTTCTCACTAATAAATACCTAGAGCACCCAGGACCCCTCTAAGCTCCAGAAGGCCGCAGCGCTTCCGGAAGGAAACAAAACTGAAGCAAAACATTTTGTTAAAGAGAATCTGTATCAATCAAATGTAGTAACTCACAGTGAGAACCACTAGCTTCCAGAACACCAAAACACAGGAAACCTTCACCAAGAGTGTTGGCGTGAATGGCCCTGTGCACTCAGCCCTCCCTGGCTGCACCTCGGCCACCCCAGGGCCCGGAACTCCGCCTTGCTGGGCTAAGGACTGGGCCCCTGGCACCTACCGTCTGGTTTGTGGCCTCCTCCTTCCGGCCTGCCTTCCACACGGTCAGGTTGAAGGTGTACTCCACGCCAGCTTGCAGGCGCTCCCGGGGGACGGTGACCACGCTGCTCCCCCGGGGCCCAAAGGTCAGAGCGCACCCGCCAGTCTCACTCTGTAGCCACAAGGGAAGGGGTCGTGAGACCCTGGACGGCTTCAAAGCAGAGCCCAGCCCCGGGCACGTTTGGAAGACCCCCTGCCCCTCCGAGGCTCATCCGCACGAACGACCAAGGGAGCCAGAGGGGACCTCATGTCCCCTGGTGCACCGGACCTGCGTTGAGGCCACACAGGCCCAGTGGAAGCTGAGTGGCGTCTGGTCGCCGTCCTCCAGGTTGGGATCGTAGGACTTGCTCCCATCTAGCACCAGGTCCTGAGTGTCCGACCACACACGGTACGAGCCTCCCTCGATGATGGGCACCAGGCGCTCAGGGACCACGGTCACATTGGCTTGGATGCTCCGTGCCAGCGGGGTGTCCCCAAATGACACCAGAAACACAAAGCAGTAGTGGCCCACAGGCAGCGCCAGCCGTGGCACCACCAGCTGGGGCCGGCTCATGTCCACGCTGGGCAGAGCCACGGGGGCCATGCGCACCGGCCGATGGCAGCCAGCGGCACGGTACACCTCCCACCGGTACTCCGTCTGGTAGGTGACGCAGTCACGGAGGTTGACGTGGGCTTCCAGGTAGTTGCGCTGGGAGCGCCGCATCAGCACCTGCGGGGGCAGGGCCACGTCCACCTCGGGCTCCCTACAGGCCAGCACGTGGACGGTGACCGTGGCCTGGGCCACGAAGAAGCTCACCAGGTTGGAAGCATTCACCTCCACGCGGTAGTCCCCAGGCTGCAGGTAGGAGTGCTCAGCCCAGGGCGCCTCCGTGTCCTCCGCCGGGGCCCCATCCCCGAAGTCCCAGCGATAGGCCACACGCCGGGGGCTAGGGCTGGTGGCGGCCTCGAACCGGGCCGAGCGGTTGGTAAAGCAGCGGCCACTGCGCAGCACCACGTGCTGGATGGCGTCCTGGACCTCGACCACGAGGGTGCGGTTCACGCCACCCAGCTCGTTGAAGGCGCGCACGTGGATTTCCAGCAGCCCCGCGGCCACGGGGGTGTAGGTGACGTCGCGGCCTGACAGAATGACCAGCGAGTCCCCCTGGACCTTTTGCAAGGAGAAGTACCACGCGTAGGCCACGCGGGACCCCCGCTGCACGCGGGCCGTGAAGTTCCTCTCCGTGCCCGTGGGGATGCCTGGCTCACAGCAGTTGGGCACCTGGAGCCCACCCACCGCCTCTAGCACCAAGATGCGCACCTGCGCCTGGGCCCGGCTCACGTGGTTTTCCGCCTGCACGCTCAGCGTGTAGTCCCCGGCCCGGGGGAAACTGCGGGAGAAGCGGGGCCCGGGCAGTGCCTCGGTGGCGGCCCCGCCGACCTGCAGGTAGAAGCTGACGGCAGAGCCAGCGGCCAGCAGGACCTGCAGGTGGACCAGCTGCCCGGGCGCCACCACCTTGCTGCTGGCCCACAGCACGAGGCCCGCGACGGGCTCTTCCACCGTGAGCTCACGCGTGGCCAGGCCCCAGCTGACGGCATTGGAGGCGTTGAGCCGAACGGAGAAGGCGCCGGCGTCACGGAAGACCACAGAAACGTGCTGGCCGTGCCTGCTGCCACCCGGCACCGCCCAGCACCAGCTCACGTCGGTGCCTGAGTCCAGCTGCCCCCAGAAGGGCACGGCAGAACCCGCCGCCACGAAGCTGCCACCCAGCTCGCCGGCCCTGATGCTGAGGCCACTTACGGGCACCTGCACAGCCACCTCAGTGGTGGCGTTGGCCGAGCCCAGCTGGTTCCTAGCCGTGACCGTGACCAGGTACAGGCCGGGGGTGGGGAAGGTGTGGGTCGTGGATGGCTCTGGGGTCTCCCAGCTCAGTCCTCCCTCCAGAGACCAGCTATAAATGACGCCGCTGCCCCCAGCCAGCTTGGCACAGAGGGTGACGCTGGCATCGACGGCGGCCGGGTTCGGGGAGGCGGCTGCGGCCAGCCACCCCACAGGCTCCACAAAGTCCACCGTGCGATTGGCCAGGGCGCTGCCCAGCATGTTGGCGGCCCGCAGCTGGATGCGGTAAGTGCCGGCCTCGAGCACAGTGAGCGAGAAGGCTCTGCCGCTGCCGGCCAGCGCCGGGCCGCCGTCCCGCTGGGCGGTCCAGCTGTAGGAGATGTTGGTGCCGTCCCGGACCACGGCCTGCAGCTGCAGCGTGCGGTTGGTGGGAAAGCAGCAGCCGCCTCCGCCCCCCACCACCTGCAGGCCCTCGATGTGCTGTAGGACGTAGACAAAGATGCTGTCCTGGGCGGCGCCCACCTCGTTCTCGGCCGTGACGATGATGTTGAAGGTGCCCACGGAGCGGAAGGTGTAGGAGATGGTGGGGCCCCCGGGGATGGGCGTGCAGCGGTCGCAGAGCACCCAGGAGTAGCGCACGTCGCTGCCGGCCTCCAGGGAGGTGGCGAAGCTGACGCTGCCGTTGAGGGGCACCACCGTGCGGCTGGCGTTGACGCTGAGCCCCCGCGCACGCTCCCGCACCGTGACGTTCAGCCGAGCCTCGCCACGGCTCACCTCGTTCCACCCGGTCACGCGGACGGTGAAGTGGCCCGTGCTGTTGTAGGCGTGGATGACCGCGGAGCCCTCGAGGAGCCCACCGTCCCCCAGCTCCCACAGGTAGGTGGCGGGGCACCCGCGGCCCCCGGCGGAGAACAGGTATGGCTGCTGCAGCTCCAGCACGCGAGAACCATTGACCCGGACACCCGTGAGCTCCACGGGCTCCTGCACCTCCACGAGCGCGGAGTCGTTGGCAGCCGAGATGTTGTTGGATACGGCAACCGTCACCAGGTAGGAGCCAGAGGCCGGGTAGGCAAACGTGGCCTCGGGGCCCCCGACGCGGGCAGGATCCTCAGTGCCAAAGTCCCAGGTGTAACGGTAGAGGAATGGGGGCCAGGCACGAGCCACCCACCGGGCCTCGTCCCCGAGCCGCACGAACTGCCTCTCGGGCCACAGGGTCACGTTGCCCAGCTCGGGCTCCACGCAGACGCTGGTGAAGTAATGGGCCTTGTTCACGTGGCTCGAGAGGACCAGCGTCAAGGGGAACGTGCCGCTCCGCGTGAAGTTGTGCGTCACCGTCGGGTCCCCCGAGACGGTGGTGTTGGAGGAGCCATCCCCGAACGTCCAGTCAAAGATGTAGTGGGTGGGGTCCCCAGTGACGTGGGCCGTGAGCCGGGCGAGGGGCTGCACAGGGATGCAGGCCGCAGGCTCGATCCGCAGCACCTCCAGGACAAACACCTGCAGGGGCAGGCTCAGCGCCAGGCGGCCCGCGGGGCTGGACGCTCCCACAGTCACCGTGCAGTTCCGTGCCCGCAGGTACACGTGCTCCACCGTGGCCTCGGGGCCCGTGAGCACCGTGCCGTCCCCCATGTCAAAAGTCCACGTGACGTTGTCTCCCGACTCCAGGGCGGCACTGACGGTCACAGGCGCGCCCTGCTCCACGGACGGGCTGAGGCTCACGCTCAGGCCCCGAAGCTCCTCAAAGACACGGATGCCGACACATGCCGTCACGCTGCTAACCGTGTTGTTGACCTCCAGACGGACGCGGTATGTGCCCCCTGAGCTGTATGTGTGGTTGACCTCTGGCCAGTGCTGCGTCACAGCTGGGGAGTCATCTCCGAAGTCCCACGTGTACAGGATGCCCCCAGGTGAGGGCAGTGGGCGTGGGGCAAAGGTGACAGACTGGCCAGCCACCAGGACACGGCTTCCCACGGCCACAGCCACAGCAGGCAGGGTGGCGCGCACGCTCACAGACACTTGCCGCGTCAGGTTCTCGAAGGCGTTGGACACCAGCAGGGTCAGGTTGTACTCACCTGGGGGACAGGCCTGAGTGAGAACAGGGCCAGGGCCACCTCCACCACCTGCTTGGCGAAGTCATGACCTAACCCCGTGCTGCTGCGGGCCAGGGCCCCTCGGGAAGACAGAACAGGCCCTCGGTCAAAATGTCAAGGGAGAATGCCCTTGGGCCCTTTCCCGGGAGGTTCTCGCAATGGGGCCAGTACAGGGTGCCACGAGCAGAGGGCGAGACGCGGGGCTGGGACATAAATGAGATGGGAGCAGACCCTCCCTGGTGAACAGAGAGGGTCGGTGCAGGGCAAGGATGGTGGGGTCACCAATGATCACTGTGCATTCTGCGTGTGAGACTTCTGGAATTTTAAAAATAAAAGGTAACTCCCTTCTGAGCCAAAAGTGGGTCTGAGTAGGGGCCAGGAAGGTCCAGTTTCTGCCCAAGAGATTTGAATCGTGGGGCTCAGTGGCCCAGACACCACTCTTTCACTCTATTAAGGGCCCCAGGCCACCAACCCGGACTGGGCAGAAGGGGGCTGTCCCCACGGCAGGGTGGCGGGCCCCAGCGCTCACCTGGGATGGCGTAGGCGTGTGTGACATTGTGCTCCACCAGCACTTGGGCGACCGCAGGGTCTGGCACCCGGAAGGACTCATTGTACGGAGGCTTGAACTGGCCAATCACCTGGTCCCCGTCCCCAAAGGTCCACCTGCCGGGCCACAGGCAGGCAATGAGCAGGCTGGAGTGGGAGCACGCTGGCCCGGCTGCAGCCGCTCCCCTCTCCCAGGGTCCCACGTACCCGCCACCTCCTGGCAGGTGAGGAGGGGCGGGCTGGGGGAGAGCCGGGCCTCAGCCCCACAAGGGCTCGGCTGGCTCCACTGCCCGCCAGACCAGGAGCACTCACAGAAAAGCCACCTCCACAGCCGAGTCCACCAGCACGTGGGCAGCCAGTGCCAGCGTGGCATTGGGGGGCAACACGGGTGGCACTGCAGACACCCAGAGGCCCCTCATCCTGTTCATCCGCTCCACGGTGACGTTATAGTTCACGGTGACATTGCTCACATGGTTGGAGGCCGTCAGCTGTGGGGACAGGCAGCAGTGTGTGGGCTGCCAGCGGGTGGCGAGGAGGCCCAAAGCAGCGCAGGCAGAACTCCACCCTGCACTCACCCGCGGCCAGCCGAGGGGTCCTCGGGAAGCAAAGCGGAACAGAAGGCCAAGATGAGCACAGCAGTCCCGGCCCCGCCCCCGCCCCACCCCCGCCCACCCACCGAGAGCTTGAAGACAGCAGCGCTCTGGTAGATGACGTTGAAGACCACATTGT